GGTGGAATAAGGGCCCTGCCATGGAGGGGGAATTGGCCCCGACAGAGGGGCACGTACTTTGCCAGGCATAGGCCTGGTCATGGATGTCGTCCCGTGCACCTCAGCCTTTGGCCCCCAACAGCAGCACTCTGCACAGTTTCCCCATCCCATGAGCTGGGGAGCAAATCACGCAGCCCCTGCCCCTCTCAGTGCCCCCCCGGCTAGAACAACGCAGCCCTGCCCTCTCAGTGCCCCCCCATGCTAGAACCAGCCAGACCCTGCCCCTCTCAGTGCCCCCCCGCTAGAACAACCCAGCTCTGCCCCTCTCAGTGCCCCCCCCCGGCTAGAACAACCCAGCCCTGCCCTCTCAGTGCCCCCCCCGGCTAGAACAACCCAGCCCTGCCCTCTCAGTGCCCCCCCAGCTAGAACAACCCAGCTCTGCCCCTCTCAGTGCCCCCCCCGGCTAGAACAACCCAGCCCTGCCCTCTCAGTGCCCCCCCATGCTAGAACCAGCCAGACCCTGCCCCTCTCAGTGCCCCCCCGCTAGAACAACGCAGCCCTGCCCTCTCAGTGCCCCCCCCAGCTAGAACCAGCCAGACCCTGCCCCTCTCAGTGCCCCCCCAGCTAGAACCAGCCAGACCCTGCCCCTCTCAGTGCCCCCCCATGCTAGAACCAGCCAGCCCTGCCCTCTCAGTGCCCCCCCATGCTAGAACCCAGCCCTGCCCCTCTCAGTGCCCCCCCATGGTAGAACCAGCCAGACCCTGCCCCTCTCAGTGCCCCCCCACTAGAACAACCCAGCCCTGCCCCCCTCAGTGCCCCCCAGCTAGAACAACCCAGCCCTGCCCCCCTCAGTGCCCCCCCCAGCTAGAACAACGCAGCCCTGCCCCCTCAGTGCCCCCCCAGCTAGAACAACCCAGCCCTGCCCCCTCAGTGCCCCCCCAGCTAGAACCCAGCCCTGCCCCCCTCAGTGCCCCCCCCAGCTAGAACAACCCAGCCCTGCCCCCTCAGTGCCCCCCCAGCTAGAACCCAGCCCTGCCCCCCTCAGTGCCCCCCCCCAGCTAGAACAACCCAGCCCTGCCCCCTCAGTGCCCCCCCACTAGAACAACCCAGCTGTCACGGAGTCCCTGGGCGATGCTCTGGAACTGCTCCCCATGAAGCCAGTCAGGACTCTGGGGAAGTCTCCTTTCTGTGAGCAGCCTGTCTTCAGGACACACAGCTCACACAGCTTCCCCCTTCCTGGGTCTGACCTCGGAGCATTCAGCATCCTCTGCTCCTCCGTGCGCTTCCCACAGCGAGTCCGCTCAGGCGGGGCTCCTGGGGAAGCCGGAAGGTCCTGCACCCCAACTTCGCAGTCAGACGTGACTCTCAGCCAGCCAGTAAAACAGAAGGTTTATTAGACGACAGGAACATGGTCTAAAACAGAGCTTGCAGGTGCAGAGAACGGGACCCCTCAGCTGGGTCCATTTTGGGGGGCAGTGAGCCAGACAACCACGTCTGCACTTCACTCCATGTCCCAGCCAGCCCCAAACTGAAACTCCCTCCAGCCCCTCCTCCTCTGGGCTTTGTTCCTTTCCCCGGGCCAGGTAGTCACCTGATTCCTTTGTTCTCCAACCCTTCAGCTCTCACCTTGCAGGGGGGGGAAAGGCCCAGGCCATCAGTGGCCAGGAAACAGGGTGTCGGCCATTCTCTGTGTCCAGACTCCTGCACACACCTGCCCTCTAGGGCTCTGCAATGATCATACACCCTTACTCCACCCCCTAGATACTTAAGAACTGCCTAGGGGAAACTGAGGCACCCCCACACTATTCAGAGGAAACATTAAGAACAGTCCCACTTCGTCACGTCTCCCCCCTTCGAGATCGAACTGAGCGGGGTCACTTTAGCCGGTGACCTGGGGAAGTTCGAAGCCACCAACATTCCCATGGATGCCCCAGCATCTCTCCCATTCCTTGGTAGGAGTTACACCAGGCCCTTCCAGTTTCACGCCCTCCCTTAGGTCAGGGGTGGTCGATAGCACTCGCAGGCCGCATGTGGGAAGGTTTATGCAGCCCATGCCCTTTGGCCACCCCAAGAATGTCTCCCCATTGACCATCACCTTCTGCTCCCACTGGAGGTCCGGGGGGCCTGGCCCCAGGAAACTCCACACAGACATATAGGTTGGGGTCAGGAGTGGGAGCCTGTCCACATCCCCAACCATCTGGCTGACGGAGTCTGTGGCCTTGGGACCCAGCAAGGGAGCTAGACACCAGGGCTTTTCCGCAGGGTCCCCTTGGTTCAAATCGCCAGCCTGCTCAAAGGCAGTGAGGTGGGCATCCACCTCCCCCCCATCCTTAACCAGGGGCAGCAATTTAGTCTCGAGGTTCCCTGCGGAACTGGCCCCCCGGGATCTATCCCCACTCACCCCGGGGAGGTCCCCTAGGCCTCTCCGCTCCCCCACCGCCAGTTCATGCTGCTGCTGCTTCTGCAGCTCTTTCTCGGGCTCTCGCTGTCTCCCACGGTCCTCTTGCTCTCTCAGACTCAGCTCCAATCCCGTCCGTCTCGATCCCCCAATGGGGAACCCGATCGTGAAGACCCTCGTCTGGTCGGGGACAGGAGTCTTGGCGATGCCTGGCTCCCGCTTCAGCTGCTCCCAGATCCTGCTATAGCCCCAGTTGGGGTCAGGAATCTGTTCCTTAGAGCGGTCATCCTCCTCCAGCTGCGTGATTAACTCTGCTTTGGTGAACTTTCCAACACTCAACCCTCTCTTTTTGCACAGGGTTACAACGTCCTTCTTAAGGAGACAGTGACAGGCCGTCACTCCGCTCCTCCCAAGTTGTTGTGGACTCACAGGCCCGTGTGTTCTCAGCTCCCCACGGTTTCCAGGGAGAACCCCTAGTGTGCCAGCCCTTCTCGAGGTCACCACCTCTTTGCCAGGGTCGAGCTGCAGACTCCTCCGCCCCTGGGACTGCTCGCTGCAATCCCCAGGGGAACCCTGCTACTGCACAGTCCTTCTCGCTGGTCACACACTCCCAGGGGTTAACCGCCCCCCGAAACCGCTCCTCTCTGAGCCTTCAGCAGGCCTGGTCCTCAGCAATCCCCCTTCGTGTTACTGCTCCCCAGTCACTTACTGCAGGAAGCACCATCCACGGGGTGCAGTACATCCCACCGCTGCCACCAGTTGTCACGGAGTCCCTGGGCGATGCTCTGGAACTGCTCCCCATGAAGCCAGTCAGGACTCTGGGGCAGTCGCCTTTCTGTGAGCAGCCTGTCTTCAGGACACACAGCTCACACAGCTTCCACCTTCCTGGGTCTGACCTCAGAGCATTCAGCATCCTCTGCCCCTCCGTGCGCTTCCCACCGCGAGTCCGCTCAGGCGGGGCTCCTGGGGAAGCCAGAGGGTCCTGCACCCCAACTTCGCAGTCAGATGTGACTCTCAGCCAGCCAGTAAAACAGAGGTTTATTAGACGACAGGAACATGGTCTAAAACAGAGCTTGCAGGTGCAGAGAACGGGACCCCTCAGCTGGGTCCATTTTGGGGGGCAGTGAGCCAGACAACCACGTCTGCACTTCACTCCATGTCCCAGCCAGCCCCAAACTGAACCTCCCTCCAGCCCCTCCTCCTCTGGGCTTTGTTCCTTTCCCGGGCCAGGTGGTCACCTGATTCCTTTGTTCTCCAACCCTTCAGCTCTCACCTTGCAGGGGGGGGAAGGGCCCAGGCCATCAGTGGCCAGGAAACAGGGTGTCGGCCATTCTCTGTGTCCAGACTCCTGCACACACCTGCCCTCTAGGGCTCTGCAATGATCATACACCCTTACCCCACCCCCTAGATACTTAAGAACTGCCTAGGGGAAACTGAGGCACCCCCACACTATTCAGAGGAAACATTAAGAACAGTCCCACTTCGTCACACCAGCCCTGCCCTCTCAGTGCCCCCCATGCTAGAACCAGCCAGCCTCTGCCCCTCTCAGTGCCCCCCCACTACAACCCAGCCCTGCCCCTCTCCGTGCCCCCCCACTAGAACAACCCAGCCCTGCCCCTCGCAGTGCCCCCCCACTAGAACAACCCAGCCCTGCCCCTCTCAGTGCCCCCCCCCGGCTAGAACAACCCAGCCCTGCCCCTCTCAGTGCCCCCCCACTACAACCCAGCCCTGCCCCTCTCAGTGCCCCCCATGCTAGAACCAGCCAGCCCCTGCCCCTCTCAGTGCCCCCCCACTAGAACAACCCAGCCCTGCCCCTCTCAGTGCCCCCCCCCCCCGGCTAGAACAACCCAGCCCTGCCCCTCTCAGTGCCCCCCCCCCGGCTAGAACAACCCAGCCCTGCCCCTCTCAGTGCCCCCCCAGCTAGAACAACCCAGCCCTGCCCCTCTCAGTGCCCCCCCAGCTAGAACCAGCCAGCCCTGCCCCTCTCAGTGTCCCCCATGCTAGAACCAGCCAGCCCTGCCCCTCTCAGCCCCCCACCCACTGTGCTTGAGCTAGGTGGGTGGGATTCTGGACCCATATGTCTGAGCCAGCAGCACTCCATGTGCAGATACGCATCCCACAGCAGCAAGGGGTGGCAGCAAGTGGGGCAGGCCCACACCATACAGCCTGGCCCGGGCTGCCCTCCCAGCTAGCTGTAGTGCTAATCAATGGCAGGAGGCCCTGTGGGGACAGCCAGACGCCGAGCCCTGCTCTGGAGGGGCAGCACCTCAACAGCAGTGAGAAGGAGCTGACCTGTCACTGGGTTTATCTCACACCTCTCAGCTCAGGCCTGCAAATATCTGAGCACTTCCCAGAGCAGGGAAATTGAGAGCTGAAGGGAATTCACTCAGCTCAGCTGGGACAGAGCCAGAAATAGAACCCAGGAGTCCTGGCTCCCACACTCCCCTTACCACCAAACCCCACTCCCTCCTGGAGCTGTGATTGAACCCTTCAGCCCTTCCTCCCCACTCTAACCCAGTAGTCCCCACTGCCCGCCCTTGGCTCTAGGCATCAGGAGGCGGGTGCGGTGGGTGCCCCATGGGGGGATAGCTCTCCTTTGACGGGCGCTGCCTTCTCCACTCAGGTGCGGGCAGCTAGTGGCATGGAGCTCCCTGAGGTGGAGGACAACGCGGAGTTCCTGGAGCGGCTGATGGAGGTGACCTCGCGCCGCCTGCCCCAGCTGGAGCTACAGGAGCAATACACCATCATCAAGGAGCTGGGCAGGGGCACCTACGGCAACGTGCTGCTGGCAGAGCACCGGGAGCAAGGTGAGGGCAGCGCCAGCTGCTCCTGGGTGGGCCAGGCCTGAGTAGCCGCAGCCTGCATTGGGCCCCTGCAGGGAGCCAGGTGGGGACTCGTAGAGGGCTCTGTCTCCTCACAGTCAGTGCTGTCCCCAGTGGGGCACTGCGAGGCACTGTGCTGCAGGGGGTGGGGGCTCAGTAGGGGGCGCTCTCCCCAGCAGTCAGTGCTGGCCCCAGTGCCCCAGGGCGTGCTAGGGGGCACTGTGCTGAAGGGAGTGGGGCAGGAACTCAGGGACTCACCCGGCTGCTCTCTGACACCACTTACTTCAAAATAGCCAGCTCCCTTTTGCTCGCTGCTCCCGGCACAGGCACCGATGGCCCCATGCCACCCGGCAGGTGATCCATTGCAACTGCCAGGCCAGCCACTCGGGCACCCACTGCCAACTCACAGGGGCCCAGGGGAGCAGTCAGTGAGGTGAGGGGGCAGCCACAGAAGGGGCCCTCTACTCCCAGAAGCTACTGACACAATGGTACTCTCTGAGCCCGCCCACAGGGCCCCTCCACCCCCTCTGGTTGTGCCCAAGCACTGCCCCAAGCTGGGGCACACCGACCCCCCCTTTGTGCCCAGGCACTGCCCCTGATGAAACACACTGACCCCCACTTTGTACCCAGGCTCCGCCCCCTGTTGGGACACATCCACACTCTCTTTGTACCCAGGCCCTTCCCCTGCTGAAACACATTGACCCCCTCCCCCTTTGTACCGAGGCCCTGACCCTGCTGGGACACATTGACCCCCCCTTTGTACCCAGGCACGGCCCTGCTGGGACACACTGACCCCCCCTTTGTACCCAGGCACGGCCCTGGCGTTGAAGCTGATGCCAAAGGAGAGGACGGAGCGGCGGGCGTTCCTGCGGGAGTACTGCATTGCGCTCTGCCTGTCTGCCCACGCCGGATTCCTGCGCACTCTGCCCATTGTCTTCGAGAGCCCCACCCACTTTGCCTTTGCCCAGGAACTCGCGCCCGCTGGGGACCTGTGTGCCATCGTGCATGACGGGGTATGCTGGTGTGAGGCAGGGGGGGCAGGGGTGTTCTGGGGAGTGGCGATCAGGGGATGGAGCATCAGATGTCAGCAGGGCTGCTGAGTAGGGGATGGGATGGAGAGCAGGGGATGGGATGGGGAGCAGGGGCATGGGCCACTGGGTCTCAGGGGGGCCTGTGAAACAGGGAGCTGGGGAGTGGAGGATGGGGGATCGGTGCTGGGGGTCTCGGGAGTGTGGCTGGAGGCTCAGCGGAGAGGGCTGGGAAGGGGTTGCTGGGGTGCAGGGTCTCAGGGTTCCAGGGGAGTAGGGGCTGGTGGGCTGGAGTCTTGGGGCAGGGGAGCAAGGGATGCAGGATAGGCTCTCAACAGGAGGCCTTGGGACCTGGGGTGAAGCATGGGAGATGCTGGAGGGGACACTGGTGTGCTGTGGGGAGTTACAGTACAGGGCACTGTGGGGTGCTGAGGGGTTGGGGCCAGAGGGAGCATAGGGTGCTGTGGGGGGGAGCTGCACTGTGACGGGGAGGTCTCCAGTGGGGGTGCTCTGTGGGGAGGTCCCAAGAGGGGGTGCAGGGGAGGTCCCCAGAGGGGGTGCTGGGGTGCTGTGCGGAGGAGCTCTGGAGGGGGCGCTGTGGCGCTGTGTGGGGGAGGTCCCTGGTGGGGCACTGTGTGGGGAGGTCCCCAAAGGGAGCGCTGTGCGCTGTGTGGGGGAGGTCCCTGGTGGAGCACTGTGTGGGGAGGTCCCCAAAGGGAGCGCTGTGCGCTGTGTGGGGGAGGTCCCTGGTGGGGCACTGTGTGGGGAGGTCCCCACAGGGGGTGCTGTGGCACTGTGTGGGAGAGGTCCCTGGTGGGGCACTGTGTGGGGAGGTCCCCACAGGGGGTGCTGTGGCACTGTGTGGGAGAGGTCCCTGGTGGGGCACTGTGTGGGGAGGTCCCCACAGGGGGTGCTGTGGCACTGTGTGGGAGAGGTCCCTGGTGGGGCACTGTGTGGGGAGGTCCCCAGAGGGGGCGCTGTGCGCTGTGTGGGGGAGGTCCCTGGTGGGGCACTGTGTGGGGAGGTCCCCAAAGGGGGCGCTGTTGGTGGGAGGCCAGGGCTGCCCTTGTGTAACCCCCATGCCCCCACAGGAGGGTCTCCCAGAAGCCCAGGTGAAGCGCTGTGCAGCCCAACTGGCTGAGGCCCTGGACTTCATGCACGGCAAAGCCCTGGTGCACCGGGACATCAAGCTGGACAACGTGCTGCTCTTCGACTGCGAGTGCCGGCGGGTGAAGCTGGGCGACTTCGGGCTGACGCGGCTGGAGGGCACGCCCGTCTGCGCCATGTCGGGCACTCTGCCCTACGCGCCGCCCGAGCTCTGCCTGCTCGAGGCCTCGGAGACGCTGGAGCTGGACGCCAGCCTGGACGTGTGGGCCTTCGGGGTGCTGCTCTTCTGCCTTGGCACCGGCTGCTTCCCCTGGGACGTGGCTGTCAGCCCCGACCCGCAGTTTGAGGAGTTCGGCGCCTGGCAGAACAGCACGGTTCCGGGGGAGGTGCCGGCACCCTGGAGGGCTTTCAGCACCGCCGCCCAGGAGATGTTCCGGCGGCTGCTGACCCTCGACCCCAACCGCCGCAGCCCAGCCATCGAGGTGCACAAGTACCTGCCCCTGGTCTGGCTGGCAAGCAGCCTCCGGGAGCTGGATGGTGCCGGGGGCCTGGGGGGCCAGGGGCACAGCCAGAGCCTGGCCGGAGAGCAGCACAGTCAGGAACACCCCCGAAGCAGCCCAGGTGCTGCCTGCAGCACAGCCCCCCGCACCGAGAGCTCTGCCCAGGCTGCGGGGGGCAGGCCCCAGTCCAAATTGGGAAAAGAGGTGGGGGGAGGGGAGGAAGGAGCAGAGGAAAAGGGAGGAGGCACTGGCAGGAGCGGAGGGGGAGGGAAGCCAGCACCCCCTGCCATAGCTTCCACCTCCTGCCACCCCTCTGTCTCCTCGGCCCCCATCCCGATCAGTTCCTGCTGAGGATCCTGAGACAAAGGGGCAGCCCGGGGCTCCCTGCCAGAGCTGCCCTTGCCAAGGGCTGGGCTCAAGGAGCCTGTTCCCCTCCGACAGCGCCAACCCCTGCTGGGTGGGCAAAGGAGCCTGCCTGTGTGTGCAGTAAGTCACGGGTGATGAGCCCAGCCATGGGGGGCACTCTGAGCTCAAGGCGGCCCATTGGCCAGGGGCTCCCAGCGTAGGGCTGTGGCTATGGGCTGGAGCAGCAAGGGGTACCCAGCATGGTCAGGGAGGGTAAGTGGGACCGTTACTGGGCCCTGGGCTCAGCTCACTGCAAACAGGACAGGGTCTAGCAGGGAGGGGGCAGAGAAGAGCTACAAGAAGGATTTGGGGGCTGGGAACCTGCCGGGCAGGGAGAGGCTGAAGGAGCTCAGTGGATTAAGTAGCTCCACCCAGAGGAGGGTCCTGTGATCCCAGCCTCTGGGTACCTGCCCAGGGAGGAGATTTCGGAGAGCAGGGGGCTCTGTGCTCCCCCAGGGCAAAGGCAGAACCAGACCCACTGCTCAAACCAGGCTGATGCAGGCTGGGAATAAGGTGCAGATTTTGAAATGAAGCAAACTAATGCCTGGAGCAGCTTCCTGCAGGGTTGGGGGATTCTCCTGACTCTGCTTTATAAACCTTTGACATAGATCCACAGGATCGGGGCTATGGCCCCAGCTTTGTAACAGTCCCTGGGAGGAGCCTGTCAGTGTGCCAGACCCCATAGGGCTCTCACTCTTTCTCCAGAGTAAGCCACACGGCCTCACCGCCTCCTTAGGCTGGATCTCTGAGCCGTCAGCCCCCCTGCACCACCCGTGAGCTCCGTTCAGGGAGTCCCACTGAGACAGACCCCTGAGGGAGACTTGTACAATCGTAGGGAGCAACACACCCCTCTGCCAGCATGTGCAGGGACACTCAGCCAGCGCTGTCACACAGGCGGGTTTATTTGTCGACTGGCCCCCAGTGCAGGAAGCCCTTGGTGAGCACAGAGAAATGAAGGTTCAAAGCTCTGTCCCTGTGTCACTCGGTCTGACCTCCTCCATCAGCAGAGCCCTGCACGGATACACATTTCTATCTGTGGATGCAGATATCGGCAGACAGAAATCGGTATCCGCTGAACCACAGGGCTCTCCCGGGAACCAAAGCAGCAGAGGGAAGCCACCTCCTCGAGGTGCAGTAGCTGTGTGGATGGAAGAATTCTTCCCTCGACCCAGCGCTGTCTACATGGGGATTTGTTCGCCTTAACTACACCACACAGGGCTGTGGATTTTTCACATCCTCCCTTAGGTCTGGTCTGTCGGCTGACACATGGCCTGTGCCCTTCTGCCACCCCAAAACCTTTGGGTTTGAAACTGGGCTGGGGTGCTGCCGCTCTCTCCTCCCCTTCATCAGCCGGGGAGGGAGGAGGGCAATGCACCCACATTTCTCCATGTGTCAGCTGTCTTGGTGCAGCCTGGGGTGTCTGGAGCCCTAAGCTGGGGTACAAAGCGATCCCTTGAGCATTAGGGGGATCAGTGTAGGTTTTTCCCCTCTGTCACAAGTCCAGAGGATTGGTGCCGTGCCTCCTGCTTTGGAACAGTCTCTAGGGAGAACCACTTCAGTGTGCCAGACCGCCATGGGGTATCACTTCCTGCACCACGCGGTCTCATCACCTCCTAAGATTGAACCTCTGGGCTGCAGCCCTCCTGCTTCACCCCCATGAGCTCTGCCCAGTGCATCCAGCTGAGACAGACTCCTGGGAAAGACTTGTCCACTCTGCAGGGACCAGTGCATCTCAGCCAGTATTTGCAATGACACTCGTGCTTTCCAAGCAGTTGGGTTTTTAGTCAGCGACACACAGCACCGGCCGTCCTTAGCTCAGCACAGAGAGCTGGAGGTTAAAGCATAGTTCGTTCCGACCAGCACAGAGCCAAGCCAAGCTGTAGGGAGCCCCATGTTCAGGTTCTGGGTCCCTCGACCTGACCTGCTTATTCAGTTCCCAGGTGAGAGCCCCAACTCCTTCCAGTAGCCAGTTCTTACCTCCCACCTCACACCTCTCCAGTCCTGTTCTCAAGCTGGGGCCTGTGCCCAGCTTCCCTGCAGGGGCCGGGGAGGGTGGGGGGGACACCATCCCCCTCTGGGCCATTGGGTGCTAGGTGTCCATGTCCTGGGGACTGGGTTTTCTGTTATCTTCTGGATTTTCCACTGATCTGGGGTTGGCCTCAGCCAGTCCTTTTCCCGTGACCTGTTGTAGCTCAGACAGCTGGACGACATTCATATCTGTGTCTCCTAGCCTGCCCAGGGGGCAAACAGTCCCCTTTCCCACACTGGACAATCATGCAAAATTTAGGGGTCACACAAATATAACAAAAGCTTCCTACTTCATCATACCCTGCGAGGTTGGTCTTAACCCAACCATGTCTCTGGGGCTCTGGTGCCCCAGGGGCTGGTGAGGCAGGGATGCAGGGTGCTCCTGCATATTTGCAGGCCCCCTCTGGAGTTGTCTCGTAACCCCAGGGCTGTGACTTGGGAGTCTCTTGGTTTAAAGAATCCACCCTGGCCATGGCCACCTGCTGACAGGGTGTCTTTGTGATGGGCTGTGGTCTCAGGGCTACTCTACACTTACCCTGGGCTTTCCCTACCCTCTGGCAGGGCTCACAGGACTTGCAGTACTGCTGGACTGCTTCTGAGACTCTGGGCTGGTAAAAGTTCTGCAGCAACTTGTGCTTGGTGCACTGGATCCCCTGCTGGCCCGAGGGAGACGTCATGGGCCAGGTACAGTAGCCTGCGGCAGCACCCTTGGGGAAGCACCAGCTGCCTCCTGATCCCCCAAGACTTAATTTTCCCCGGGGGATCCACGCCCAGCACAGGAATCCCTTCTCCACAGGAATCTTTCCCTGCCATCCTCCTGAAGAGGGTTTGCAGGGCTGTGGCCGGCGGGGCCCTCAGCTTTTCTAAGCAGGGAATCCCTTGGCAGTTCAGTATGAAATTCAGCTGCTGGGGCAGGGAGGGGGACCCATCCCTCCTTGCTGGTGGGGTTTGGAGTCACAGCACCGCTTGGCTGGACCTTAGTTTCCACAACTTGGGACAGAGTCTTGGACCCATCTCCATTCAGCCCTGCCTCAGGGAGCTTATCCCCCCAAGCCAGAGGTGGTGGCTTGCTAGCCCCAAGCGTGGTAGCCTTTGAGCCTGGGCCAGGTCCTGGTGGTGCTCTCTGGCTCTGTCTCCTGGTAAGGATCAGGGAGCTGTGGGCACCGCCTGGCCACTCCTCCAGATCATTCCCCATCTGCAGGTAACTGATCCTGCACCCCAACCTCTTTGTGCCCCTCCTTGGCACCCCATCTCAGGTACACCCGTGCTACAGGCACCTTGACCTAGGGTCCAGACACCCCCTGGGATGCTGGCAGAGCAGGTGCCAGTTCATGCCAAGGTCCCCATGTCTCAAACGAACATTGACACACATATGGTTGGAACCAGTCTGGCTCAGCTGTGTGTTGGGATTGGTAGAAGATGTATTAGAATTATAAGAATATGTTTAGTCTTTATGGAATGCTTGTAAATTACTGCCTGCATTAATCTCACGTATAGCATCTGTATCTATCCCATCTTGGAAGGTCATAGTTAAGCATTTGTTATAAGCCACCATGACTGTGTCACCAGAAAGGAAGATACATTAACTGTGTGAAGTTCTGGTCTCCAGCAGAAGGTGTTGTGTCCTTTAGGACAAGGAAGGCCTGTCCACACCAGACAGACTAGAGCAGTGGTTTTCAAACTTTTTTTCTGGTGACCCAGTTGAAGAAAATTGTTGACGCACATGACCCAACGGAGCTGGGGATGAGGGGTTTGGGAGCGGCTCAGGGCTGGGGCAGAGCATTGGGGTATGGGGGAGAGCATATGGGGCTGGGAATGAGGGGCTCCGGTTTTGAGGGGGGCTCAGGGCTGGGGCAGGGGATTGGGACGTGGGGTTGGGGCATGGGTTTACCTCGGGCAGCTCCCGGTCAGCAGCACCTGACCTGGCCTGGCACCGCAGACTGTGCTGTGCCCCGGAAGCGGCCAGCAGCAGGTCCATCTCCTAGGCAGAGGTACGCAAGCAGCTCCACATGGCTCTTGCCCACAGGCACTGACCCCTCCAGCTCCCATTGGCCGGGAACCAGCCAATGGGAGTGTGGAGCCAGTGCTCGGGGTGGAGGCAGCGCGCAGAGCCCTGTGGCTCCCCCGCCTAGGAGCTGGACCTGCTGTTGGCCACTTCCACGGTGCAGCATAGTGTCAGAACAGGTAGGGACTAGCCTGCCTTAGCCAGGCAGCACCACTGATGGGACTTTTAACGGCCCAGTCGGCAGTGCTGACCAGAGCCACCGTGACCCAGTGCCTTACATTCCGCGACCCAATACTGGGTCACGACCAGCAGTTTGAAAACTACTGGACTAGAGTGGAACACTAAAGAGGACAAAGTACTTTGTTGTTACTCTTCCCATCCCCATGAAGATGAGTCTTGAAAGTGAATTTGAGTTTGCTGAGTTTGCAGCTCCAAGCTGAAGGGGGAAGGGAATAAAACCCCCTAACAAGGAGGAACTGTATCTTTATGCTGCTTGCGCTGTGGGGGGCAAGGTTTTCTAGGCATAAGCAAGAGGCCCCCAGTGCTTGGCCTGGGTTAGCCCTGAAGGCCACACAGACCTTGCTTGTCATAGAAGCTTCTATTACTTTTTGAAATTTAAGCGTGGAACTCGTTTGTGTGGGTATGTGTTTACCTGCTTTAACCTTGTAAATCACCCACTTGTTTCCTTTTCCTATTAATCAATCTCTACATAGTTTATTACAGGATTGGCTACAAGTGTTGTCTTTGGTGTGAGATCTAAGGTGCAATTGACCTATGGTGAGTGACTGGCCCTTTGGGAGTGGGAGTCACCTGAACATGGCTCACCCACATGGCCTCAGGGATCCAAGTGGTGAAGGCAACCAGATGACTCCTACCCTCCCTGACATATTAAGGGATCCCATCATGGTGACCC